ATAAAGATGGTATATAAAGAGAGGTGACCTTTCTGAGAACAGTATCAGTGGGGTTGAGAGATGGGTAGACTGGTTCCAAAATACAGTGGGCTGAGAGGAAGTTGAGGCATTGGACAACAGATATAGACCATTATTCCAGGTAGCCTGAAGAAAAGGAGAGTAATTACAGAAAGCTTAAGAGGAGTTGTAGGGGGACAGAAGAAGTGTTTGATAATGAGAAGAGTTTAAACTTGTTTTTAGGCTTTGAATAAAGGGCTAGCCAGAAGGTGAGATTGAGGATCAAAGTGATCAGGGGTGGAGTGTGTGTGAACTTGAAAAAAAATCAATTCTCAGAGGAGGAAGACAGATGGAATCCTGAGCACAGGGGCCAAGGTCAGGCTATAAAAGAAGTGGAGCACCTCCTCCTCTGAAATACGGAGGGCCAGCTTAGAATGGTGAAGACACAAGGAAGTGTAGATCAAGATGGGTGAGCCTGCTGAGAGATTTCAGGCCTGAGACGGCTGCTACTGCTTTGGGTGTAAGTGACAAGTGACACGATCTTCTTGTACTGAGAGGATGAGATTCGGGTCAATATCTTCCTCCATTGTTGCCGCAGAGAATTGGAAAAGGCACCTGAATCCCCCATGATGGTTATCCCAAGTCCTTCTATATCTACATGCAGCTCGTGGCTATCAAACCTTCACATGACAGCTTTATTGATTTCAAATTCCAAATCCTCTTAGTACTAAATTTCTTGATCAATTTTTCTATGTGCCATTAACTGTTTTTATAGCATCCCAGGGCTAGAAAGCTATTGATCTGCTCCAAGTTCAACTAAAATTTCAATTTAACAAGGCTTTATAACCTTTCCAATTTTACTCGATTGGATGACATTTAAAAAAAGCAAAACATCTTTAATTTTTCTCAAAAGACCGAACCAAGCAAAACATTGCCCCATCCTTGGGATTGTGATGGAAGAGAATACAAACTAGTGCATTTTGTAAGGTAGGTAATGTGTCTATTCTATTGTTCGCAAAAGTATAATCGGTTCAACTTTACTTTGGCGGCATGTCTACTTTATCATTCTTATTTCCCAACATACACGACAGCCTCTCATTTGTAATCACTTTAAAGTTCAGTTACAGGCTTCATAAATTCAGGGAGAGCTATTTTAGCAAATAATGCAACACACGCTTCTTCATGAAGAGTTAAAAAAAGATGAATACCAGATTCTGTATTTATTAGTACTTAACAACATATTGATTATGTACTTAGGCAGGGAAAAAGCAAAGCTCATTTGAACTCCACAGTATTGCCATATGATACTTCGTTGCTTGGAATTATTCCTTTTAATATTTAAGATCTCTTAACATTGATTTATCTATTGTTAAGAAGGTATACATTTTAACTAAAATATTAAAGCTAAACAATGTTGTCATTTGAGGCCTTTACGCTTTTTTTTGTTTGTTTGTTTGTTTGTTTGTTTTTTTTAGGTTAACATGAATGGAATCAAGGACTACCTGGCTTCCTGCATCCACAGACTACCCTCTCTGCAGTTGCAATCATTTGACCTTTGACCTGAAAGCCAGTTCTGCCTCAGCTTCCGGGCTCTATTTTAACCTGTATTAGGGATAATGTTCTGCTCCCTTGCTCACCTGTTGATTGCAGGATTCTATGACAGTAAGATTACCTGGGTTTGAAGCCCCACTTCACCACTATCCTTGGCCAGGGTAAGTTATTTCACTTCTCTGAGCCTCTGATACATTATCTCTCAAAAGTTGGTAGAAATATTTATGTTACGGAGCTGTTATATTAATGCCTAGCTTCGGTCTGGCAAGTACAAGGCAGTTCTGTGATTTTTTTCACCCTTTCTCCCAAATTCCTGCCGTTATAAACTCCTCATTACACAGACTCTTACAGACTCGAGTCTCTGCTTTGCTTTAGGTAAATATCTGTAGGGACTGGAGTTCTGTGACCTGCTGTTGGGTCACTTGAATGACGGCCACCATCTGCCTGCAATTCTACCTATTAGCTGACTTGAGGGGTCCAGTTACCTGCTTCATCCATCTGTCCAGACAGCTGATGGCATATTCCTGAATTTCCTCAATGACTCCATATACCTGGGTCACCACCTATTACCTGACACCATATTTTATAATTATTTTGGGGTATCTGGCTGTTGGTGCTTCCCCCAACCCTGCCACATGAAACTTATGTTTAATTTCTTCCTCATTTATAGTTTTGTTTTGGTCATTATATGATATAATAAATGGACTTCAAAGCCATCTATTTCCTAAATATGAATAAATTTAATTGCCTACTTAAAGAAAAGTATAACTTATAATAATATAAAAACTCAATATGTATTATAAAATAAAAATGCATTTTAGGAGACAATAAATCCTGATAATTTTAGCTTGATAATTTACAACACAGAATAAATTTAAGGACTTGTCAAACTCATTACTTCTTTAGGTGACTGATGTAAACCATAAGGTCTTTGAATTTTGAGAGGATGTCATATCCTACTGCTGTCCAGTGAAGTAAAGGTAAAAGATCACAATCCACAGAAGAGATGCCAAGGCTAAAAGGCAATCCGTATGAAGCAACCCATGATGGCCTCTTTCCATGTCCATTCCAAAAGCTAATGGTTTACTTGCTTAGCTCAAGTTCTGCCTTATTTATAAACTATTACTGGCCATTAATAAATGATTGTGTTCATATTTCATTGCTACCTTTTGAATTTGGTTGTCATTTAAATCAAAAGTCATCACATCACATAGTAACACCTATCAACCAGCTTACTTATATAATGCATTTTAAAATTAGAATATTTCTTGTTCTTTCTAGTTTTAGTGGTAGTATATCACCATCTGTGTCTGAATCTATATCTATATCTACAAAAGTATATTTATCTATTTCTATGTTTGTGTTCAGTAAAAGTAGAAAATTAATGCAATCCTATTCTCCTATATAATAGAGGTAATATGCAAATTAATCCTCACGCTGTCACAAGATAGCTGTGCCCACAGCGGAAGTGGGGTTCCCTCAACGAGTGATCAGCAGGGACCTGAGGCTGCGTGGCACTGGGCCGGGGTGGGGGACCTGAGGCTGCAACCCCCCCACCCAGTGGGGCTTGACAGGGGACCTGAGGCTGTGCTCCCCACCCAGCGGGGCTTGACAGGGGTGAGACCGGCCGGGTCTGCATCTCGCCCAATGGGGGTGGGGCCAGCTGGGTCTAGGTCTCATGCGATTTCAAGGCGTGCGCGGGTCGGCAGGGACTTGACTCTGGGTCCTGTGGTGCACCCCAGACTCTGACAGGAGGAAGATTTTCATATACATTTTACTAATTTTCTTTCATCTCTGACATTTCTATTATAGAGAAAGGGCAAATAGCAATATTAAAATATTTCCTCTAATTAATTCCCTTTTAATGTGCACAAACTTTGTGCACTGTGCCACTAGTATACTAATAAAAGCCTAAAATGCTGTGTCCGGTCATCCAGTCATCCATTCAACCAATCAAAGCGTAATATGCTAATGATATGCTAAGGCTGCCCAACTGCTCGCTATGACGTGCACTGAGCACCAGGGGGCAGATGCTCTGACCAGTAGGTTAGCTTGCTGCTGGGGCCCAGCCAATTGAGACTGAGCAAGACAGGCTGGACATGCCCTGGAGCCCTCCCATGGTCCCTCCCTGACTGGCCAAACTCCTGCATCCCTCCCAGGCCCTGATCGTGCACAGGTGGGGTCCCTTGGCCTGGCCTGTGGCCTCTCACAATCCAGGATCCCTCGGGGAATGTCAGAGAGTCAGTTTCGGCCCAATCCCGCTCAACGCAGGGGGAGCGCTGCTCAGCCAGAAGTCAGGCTCATGGTTGGCGAGTGCAGCAGCAGTGGTAGGAGCCTCTCCCGCCTTTGTGGCAGCACTGAGGATGTCTGACAATGGACTTAGCCATCAGTCAAACATCCCTTGAGGACTCCTGGACTGTGAGAGGGCACAGGCTGGGCTGAGAGATCCTGCCCCCCCCCCCCCCGAGTGCATGAATTTCGTGCACTGGGCCTCTAGTTCCTTAATAATCAGATAATTAGGAGTACAGTACTATATTTACTGGTATTCTTTAATAATTCTATGAAGTCACTGAATTTTTCCCATTTTCTTTTACTATTCTGATGCTTAGATCTGGGAAGAATTTCAGATGATTTAAGTGAATATCTGTCTATTTCTCACATTACAATTACAGTAGGTGGCATTATAATGCTCTGAATTTACTACTGCACCTTTCTGTGTCCCTTAAAACCAGGAAATGGCCTAGGCCTGGTATTCACAATAAATGGACTAAATGCCTGCTTGTTGATAGCTATGAAACAATGAAACAAAGTCAATCAAACTAAGTCTCAGTGACTAAAATATTCATATGAAACAATGAAACAAAGTCAATCACATTAAGTATCAGTGACTAAAATATTCAAATTGTTAAGAAAACAATCAATGAAAACAGCCCAAGAAGACAAACCAAAATTACTCACTAGACCTGAAACATGGCAAGTCTTTGGCCCAATGCACGAGCATCATGAAGGTTTATTCTTCCTATGAAGAAAGGCAAAAGCGCACAAGACCCTACCATAGTGTTTTTCTAAAATACAACAATTTACAACCCTCCAGGTGGAGACTATCAAATCAAAAACAATCTCTTAAAGCCTTTACATACTAAAATGTTTTCCCCCCTCTTGTTAATGCAGTTTGGGTGTTAGAACACCTTGGGAGAAACTCCACTCTGAGGAGATAGCAAGAATTGTCCTGCTAAACTAAGTAGACTTTTCCTCATGGTTCAAAAATTTAACCTCATTGAAATGAACTTGGAGCCACCAGTATAAGGAGAAATGTCACTAGAGTGGGAAACCCTTAAAAAGTTGGCAGCATAGTATAGCTGAAAATATCCTAGCAATCATTCAACACAAGGTGGAATTTAATTGAGTCAAGCATGCACCCCCCTTTCCTTTCCCCTGTCCAAGTAACTCACAACTTTCAATCTCCAGAGTGCAGTTTTGTTCATCCAGAGGATATCTTCGGAGATCCATCATACACGCAGCTGTGGTTGTGATTCTGTCAGGATGAGAGAGAGAAAGATAGCATCATAAGTATGATGGCCTCCGGTTCCAGGCTTCCCAGCCCTGGATCATGTTACCAATGGGCATAAAAATTTGGTGGTTAAAATTTTTGAAGGCAGGCAGATTGAATTTGAGTCTTTCTTTGCTGCTAACTAGTCTTATGAGCCTGGGCTATTTAATTGAGCTCCATGAGCCTCAGTCCCCTTATCCATCATAACACCTACTACGTAGGATGAATGGCGGTGAGAATTAAAAGAGATGTGTGCTCCACAAATGCTGGTCATTATTATAGCTATTTTTATCCCATAGCATCCTGGCAATGTCTCTGCCAGTATCTTCAGTAAGTTCTGCCTATGAGTAGGTCATCTACAATATGCATCAAAGCCTACCTTCATCTCCTGCTACAACCTAATAATAAAACACCAAAACAACAACAACAAAACCTGTCCTCTATAACTTTCGGTGCCTAACACTACCCACTATTACAGAGATTTGTCAAATTCATCTCTGAGATCCTGGTCCACCTATACTCAATATAACCAGGAAAGAAACATTACACTACCTTAGGATTGGTGTTCATACCACATAGTCACCAACTCAAGTTGAGCTTATGTTTTTATGCAAGACCCCAAACCCTGACTCTAGATATCTCACCTGGGTTTCCATTATCCCTCCATTTTCATTTGCCTGGGCTATGGAATCTGAGAGTAACTGAAATTCCTAGGCTATCACTCTTACGAATATTGCATATTACTATGGAATTGAGAAAGTACTTTTCTTTGAAAAATGGCATGGTCTTCTCTCACAAAGTAACGTGATTGTAATGTGAAGAATTCAAAATATTCAAATTTAATAATAGAAAGTTTCCTTGCTACTTTAATCCCCACAACATTGGAAATTTTCCATGAATATTCCTTGTGCAAATAGGAGTATGGCTATATCTTCTTAGAGGATAGCTTCTTAGACAGCTGCCTACCTTCTCTGAACCTTTCTTGTTTGCATTAACAATGCATCTTGGAATTGGTTTTATATCCGTAAATAATAAGCTGTCTTAAAAATTTTACTGCAATGTGTTCAGTTGTATGGAAATACCATACTTTATATTCCCAGTCATCTTTTGATGGACATTTACACTGTTCCCTGTCTTTTAGTTTTACAAATGAAGATGCACTGAATATACTGGTACACCCCACTATGTCTCACTATTATCTGTTGGCTATTTCTGGAAAGGGAATGGTTGGAAAAAGGTATATGCATTGTAAGTTTTGCCACATTGCCCTTGGTAGAGATTGTGCCAATTTACGCTCCCACTAACAGAGTATCTAAATTTGACAAAGTACTCTTCATTCCTATGTTTTTTGAGGCTGCCAGGGTGACTTATTGTTTTGGTCATGTGTGTTAACCTAACGGGAACTTTCTTCTTAAAACACTGTTACAAAAGACCCTAATCCTTTCCAATTTCTCACAGGCTTTCCTTATGAAAGATGAGAGTTCACAGGATGAGCATTGGGGCATTCCCTTTGAAGCCTTTCTTAGACAGGATGTTGGTCAATGTAATAAGATTTATTTGAGCAATAGGCAAAAGCAAAAAAAAAAAAAAATTCAGGTTCAATTTATAAAACATTTCTTCCAAGTGTTTTACAAAAATTTTAAAGACTAGTTATAGTCCAGAATTTAGCACATGCAAGGATTTTATTAGATTCTTTCTTGACTCCTGCTCTCATAATTACATGCATTAATTTTTTTACTTAAAAATATATACTGCGTATCTTTTGTTTTCTAAAAATACAATTTCACAAGCCTGTTTTTATGGCCTGCAAGTATTTTAAAACACCCTTAACAAGACAACACAATACATATTTTTAAATGTTTTAAAAATTATCTATCTACCCTACTATAGTAATTGTTTCATAGTTTCTTATAAGTAAAAAGATTGTGAAAATTATCTATAAACTAGAAGCCCAGCACGAGAACTAGCGTGGCCCCACCCACCTGTGTGGCCTCACCGTGCTTGCATCCCCGCACACCCGCTCAGGTCTTTGGTTGTCATGGTGTTAGGGCCATGGGCTTTATATACATACATAGATTACTAAAGTGTGGCAAGTCCTATGATCCTATGACTTAGCCAGCAGATAATTTTCCCCCATAAAGGACATTCGGCAATATCTGTAGACATTTTTGATTGTCAGGCTGGTGGTGGAGGCCTGATACTTTCATCCACTCGGTGGAGGCCAGGGATTCTGCCTAACACCCTGCAATGACCAGGAAAGCCCCCAACAGTAAAGAGTTATCTGTTTCAAAATGTCAGTAGTGCCAAGGTTGAGAAATTTGGCTTAATGGTGGTTTTCAAACCATTTCCTTTGAGGAAAACATTAATGAAGCAAAATCTTAAATAGAAGCTCAATCTATAAAATAGAAATAAAATAAGTAAAAAGAGTATTTTGTTAATATAAAATTATCTTATAAGTTCAATGTTGACATCTATTTTAATGACCACACAAATTTGGAAGCAGGAATTATAATTAGGGCCTTAAATCTCCCTCAGCAGCAATATTTTTTTGTTGTATTTTATTAGTATAGTGTTGAGAAAATCCTGATAATAGTGAAACATTTGTTTCTAAAAATCTTATATGACCAGTTATAGGCTACCCTGAATTGGGTAAAAAAAACCCATACCTGTGTGCCAAGTAACCACCTCTATGATCAATGACACCTTTCTACATGGTTCAGATACATTCACAGGTAGTTGATCTCTAGCAGGAGCTTAATGATGGATTAACAGTGGTTCTCAACCTTCTGGCCCTTTAAATACAGTTCCTCATGTTGTGACCCCCAACCATGAAATTATTTTTGTTGCTACTTCATAACTGTAATTTTGCTACTGTTATGAATCATCATGTAAATATCTGATATGCAGGATGGTCTTAGGCGACCCCTGTGAAAGGGTCATTCGACTCCCAAAGGGGTCGTGACCCACAGGTTGAGAACCGCTGGATTAAAAGGAAGCGTTACTTGCTTCAAAGCAAAAATTCTCCATGCTCTGCGTAAATTAACCTGGCTGCGTAAGTTAATATTGAGGTGGTCTTGAATGCATTAAAATGTACACAGGACACTACATAGTGTACTTGTTTTTTATTATAGTTTTAAATAATTATAACATTTTAACATAAAAATAGAATGAAATATTATTTGTGGGACTGTTAACGAGCCTTAGAGATACTTGAAAATAGCATTTGACTCCCACTGGTCGGCATACCTCACTTAATTGACCTCATTTTCAGACAGGTGTCATCTGGTTAATTAACCGCATCACATCAAAATCAGGACATGCCTTGAAATCTTACGCTGAACCACTGATTCACACGTTGTGAAGCTCTGGAGTTTTTACAAAGCAATTTGAAAAGCTAACAAAGCCTTGTGTGTAAAATGAATAATTAATGTCTCATGTGCATGGATCCTACAGTTGCAATAATAAAAAAACACTCAACTTTTGGAAAGCATAACTGAACTTACTATTGCTGTCTTTATGATCAATCCATTCAGCAATCAATAGATAAAATAAATCTAATTGATATTACCTTGGGAAACCATACATCATACCAGAGACTTGTCCATGACTTCATATTTTTTCAGTTATGATATCCTGGACAAGTTAGTTTCTCTTGCCCCAGATCCTATATGATCCCAAGAAAAGCTGAGTAATCATAACTCAGAAAGGGAGGGAATCAAGGCAGCTCCAGGAAACTGAGCTGTAGGATGTGCCTGGCGACTTCCTCTGGAAATCTCTGACATTAGTGAAACTTCCTTCTTGGGATCTATTTGCTCCTAATGCACAATTCCCCAGAGTATTTCCTTGGTTCACCTCGGATTAGGTGCCAACTCTCCCAAAATTATTTAGTACGAGCTGGAAGGAAAGTCACAGGTGTACAAATATGGTCACCAGGAACCCACAAGGGTCCTGAGAAGGGAGGGATCATTGAGACTTTGACAGGACCCCTATACACGCTGGTTCTCAGAAATTGGTGTTGTGGCCTGTAGAAATTTATGCAACAGAGCATCAGTCTCTGCTAATTTAAGGGATTGCCATTTCTAGATTTTTTTAATGCTTATGGTTAAGTAAGCTGAATGCCTTGGGCTCTCTATGAGGGAAAAAAAATGTTCAGAAAGAATTCCCAGGATCATTAACAAATGATCTGGGTGAGAAGCAACAGTGAACATCTCTAAGAATGAGTCCTCCCTCCCTGTTTTTCCATTTGTTCACCTTGCTGAATGCAATTGCTCAGCAGTAGTGAGTCACCTCTGCAATTAATTAACACTTCCATATGGAAATGTGCTCACATCGTGGTGGAAGCAGCCTGATAATCTATATCTATGGGATCAAAGGTGCCAAAGATTAAAAACACAAAACAAAAAAACAAAACAAAACAACAAACAAACAAACAAAAAAACCCAAAACTGGATGGGTTGAGCATTTCAAGCTTAAAGTGTTTTTTGAAAATTTTTTTAACTTTTCACACTCAAGTCATTCATTTTAAAATTATTATTATTGGCCAATAGCAAATGAAGGTAGCATAGAGTATTACCAGCTAAAGCAAAAACATTAATTCCTGTTTTTCTGAACATAGACTTCCCAGAGGTTCAGATTCATGACAGCATAACATCCATCTGTCTTCTTTCAAAGACATTTAGAATGGCTTACATTATAATCCAATTTATTGACATTTTGAAGGTTAGGTCAGAACACTATAATAGGCTGTTAGAAGCTATGGTCCTGTGATACTTGGGAGTGAATGGAAATCATATTGCTGTAGTATTCATTTATTAAGGTGTATTCTACATGGTCACTGACAGAAAAAGTCACTGTAATTACAAATCATGTATATTTGATGTCTAAGGGCAGTGTGACCCTCACTGCTGGCACAACATAATCCAGGAAGACCTGGCCCGTGAGCAGCTCAAAATCTAAACACACACACCACTTTGCAAATGCTAGTA